ATGGTTTTTATTTTTAACGCCTGTCAATTTTTGTTTGATTTCGAAATGGTTAGAAAACGTAAGTTTATGTTCATATATATATATATATATATATATATATATTATAAACTGATCTTTAATATGTGAACATAAATTTGGTGAATAGGATATCATGTCCAACTTGGTGAAGTTCAATCTAAGTTCTTTTACTAAAATTTAATCAACATCAAGTTTTATAAACAGTTCATTTACCAGATACGATTGTAAGCATATGGATTCTTCATTTACCATATACGATTGTAAATATATATCCTTGATCACCTTAGGCTATGTTGAAAATTCCACTTCGTCCTATATTGTATCTTTATTTCTTTAGAAGGAGTGTGTGGTGATATTCATACATTCACGGCTGTGCTACGAATAGATTTGATAGAATTAATTATATATTTTATCGTATATATAGAATGAACATATAGTATATTGTTTATGGATGAAAAAAATATAAATATATAACTCAAACACTACTACACTGATTTTATATTGATGCATACGTATGTAGCCGTTTTTAATCTTGAAAACTAATTATCAATATTACAACTAAATTAGGTACTTTTAAACTAATTCACTAAATTAATATATTAATTAATAGAGAAAATTTGGAAAAATACCTTCAAAAGAGATTGTATTTTGAAAACTACACCATTGTTCATTTTTTTTTAACTATGCTTAATTTTTTAGTGAAATGTCTAAATTAATCTAACTAAAAATTAGTAACACCTTAAATATTTAATTAAAATATAAATAAATATATAAAATGAAGATAAGAATGAATACACTTGATTTTGGAATTTGATTAATATGTTAATTAAAAATATAAATAAATATATAAAAATGAATAAAAGAATGAAGACACATGATTTTGGAATTTGAATAATTATTGCAGTTCATATATCATTTGATTTGGTCTTTTACTAAATTATATTTAGATCTAACTCTTAGAAACTTTATATGGACCAAAATAATTTTAGTTAAAAAACATCTAATTAATACACTAATAAACTATTTTTTTGTTAGAGATGAATTTTCAAATATTTAAATTGATAATTTCGAATTTTAATTGTCTAAAATAAATTATTATTATAATTAATAATTTCAAATTTTAAAATTCTCAAATAAATTAATATTAATAATTTCAAATTTTAATTTTAATTTATTAAAATATGTAATATCTCTTTTAAGCTAGGTAGAAAAACTTATTTGTTTTTATATAAAACTAAATAAGTGTTATTTTTAAAAATTTAACTAACAGTGTACTTTTCAAATTAAAAAACTTAAATAAGGCATTTTGTCAATTCTCCCTAATTAATATGTCTTTGTTAGTTAGTGGGTTTTTTCATGGGTTTGAAAAAAAAAATGTTATCTATGTATCAAATAATATTATATGATGTTTATTAATGTTTTATTTTGATTGATTTTTCATTTATGCTGATGTGTCAGCTTAAGAGACTTTGAAAATGCTGATGTGTCATTCTCTGGAAAGACATAAAGGTTATTGTTGTATTGATTCCGTTAATTCGTTTGTTGTTGGTTTATATGGATGGTATACGGATCAGGCTATTTAAGTACTTGCTAATCAGAAACCCGATTCATTACAAACTCGGCATGTTACACAAACATTTGAAAGAAACAAAGGGTCTTTGTTCTCTTTTAGAGTTTTAGTTATGAACACAAGAACAAATCAGAACAAACCTCGTAAAAGATCTCGAGAATTGCAGACCGATGCTCACGAGGGTTCATCGATAGATAGTACTCCAAGAGGCTTCTAAGTTCATCTGCTTCCCTGATCTTGTTTGCTACAATCATCTCGACCATGGACTCTCTGAAATCCTCTCTTGGATCATAAGAACATTTTTCCATCGCCATCATCACTATGAACTTAGTGTTACTGATGCTACTCTTGCTTCTTCTTCTTCTTCTCATCTTCTGTTGCCTTATCTTCTCTTGATGTGTTGCTTCTTGTGTCTCTCTGATCATCTGCTCTAGCTTCTCCTGAACTATGTAGTGTGTTAGGCTAGAGAGCGAACAGTGCTGGTCTGAAAGTCTGGAATGTTTGTCTGATTCCAACGAGGAAGAAGAAGAAGATGATGAAGAAATGCTGACTCTTGCTTTGCTGCTGCAACACAAAGCTCTGCAGAATCTTGCTTCTCTTGTTTGGTGTTGTGATTGTTTGCTCTGTTTGTTGTTGTCTTTTTCTCTATCTTCTTCTGCTCTGTTTATAACATTCATGTTGAAATGTTAAGTCGCATTATAGTCAAGGGGTTTTGAGAATGGGGATGTTTGTAAACAGAAATAAAAAAGAGTTTAGAGTTTAATTATTTATTTGAAATTGGAAATGTGGGTCATGTTCATCATGATTATGTCTTGATCGTAGATCACTTAAATACTTAAGAATATATAGATACTTTAAAAAAGGACTAACAGGTCTTTAACGTTATTCATATTTGTGTAAACTAGTTTTTTAAAAATATTTTTAGAATTAACATCTTGAGATTTGTGTTCATAACGCAACGACGAGTTGTACACTTGGTACGTAAGATTTAGAGCTCTTTTAGAAGACCGAATAATTTCGATTTAGAGCACGTAATTAAAATGGATTCGTGATTTATCGATTTGATTTAAAATTTAAAATAAAAAAGCAATGATCGATGGACTATTACAACTGATGCATAAGATTTGAAAAGAAAACATGTTTATACAATAGTTTTTGAAAATACACAAATCAAATCAAAAGTTAGGAATCTTATAGAAGATTAGGTAGGATGGGAGAAATTTGAAAAGAAATTAAGAAATAAAGAGAGCTAAATGCATGTATTTGTGTATGTTTTGGAAATATAGGGGTGATTAATTTGATTATGATGTGATGTGTAGACCATCTCCACGGCTACTTTATTTTTGTAGTTGTTGAAGATGAGATATCTAAACTTTATTTTGTTAAGTTTTTGGTAATGCTCAACAAGTTGTATATGTAACTCTTATCTGATCTCTGCCCCATGAAAATTATGATAGCAAATTATTAATTAAAAAGGAAGCAAAACAAGAAACTAAAAAAAGATGAAGAGCAGCTAGCTGATTGTGGGTTTCACATGGCTATTGAACTCTAGCTTCAGTTTATTTTTTTCACATTTTCTTAAAGGGCATATATTAGATTTTGATAGTTCATAGGTGTTATGTGCCATACATGATTTCACTAGAACCTATATGATACAATTTCATTTTCGGGCTTTTCCTTTTAATGTATAAAAAGACTGGTTAAAATTGCTATATACAAAATATACACAAGACATAAGAGATAACGTATGGTTGTTGTTGCCTTGGAGACAAGACATGCTTTATCTTGCTGGCTTATACATATACCTAATTTTTTTGGCTTTGAGGTCTTAGAAAGTTTTGTAGCATAGCTTTTTTCTTTTTAGTGGTAGAAACACTATCATATTATTAATTGGCAAGTAAATTGGATTGTGGTTGAAAGTTATTATGGTTGATTACTTTTTGCTCCTTATATAAATTTAATTTAATTATCTTTACTGAAATTAACAAATTAATATAATATAATTTCTAATTAATTTTTGTTTTTTTTAAATCTAGATTTCTAAATTCAAGTTTATATCATAAAAATTTTCAGTTTATTAAAAAAAAGGTAACTAGCATAAATAAATAAAAAATTCTAATTATTTTATTAAACTAATTTTAATTTAATTATTTAACCTACTAATATTTTTGACTAATAAAACATTATTTTATTTTTTTATCTATAAATAAACTAATATTATTAATTTAAAAAAAAAATTAAACTCCGCACTTTTTACGAGAAACACCTAGTTTAAAATATATACTGTGAACAATTGGACTAAATAAGGACTAATATAATGCACAAAACTGAAAACTTTTACTATGAAATCTGATGAAAAAAAGAAAGTTTATTAGATTTTATTTCTTAAACCTGAAAAAATAAAAGGAGGATGTGACAAAAAAAAAACCTAATTATTTTGAAAATCCAATTTCACAGCTTTAATATTTTACAGTTATACGCATATTATTTGACACTAGTTGATTGTGAATATAGTTTTACCTAGATTTTTTTAGGTTTATTGGTTTTCACCTAATTATTAACTTATTATATGGTATAAATTAAATTTCTTTAAGAATAACCTATCTCGTGTTATTTAACAAAAGATAAGCAATAATTGGAGATTAACCCCAAAAGATGTTACACAGCTGGATAGAATCACTTTGTGGATATTTACGTTTCTTTGTAGGTTTTAGTCTTTTCGAGTTGGGTCTTTTAGGGATTTTGTCATGTGACAATATCCATATGATTTTTGATTAACCTGCTAGACTTAAAAAGTGAACTTTAATGATGAAAAAAGCAAATTAAAATTTGATTAGTTGATCGAAAAATAGTCAGTAAGTACCTTACCAACTTGTTAAGCTGACAGTTAAATCACATGTTGCCATTATGGTCCATACTTTCTAGGGTTTATTACATCTTGCTTACCATATCTATTATTGGATCTAAAACTGTTCTTTTGATTAATTAAAAAATGATAACAACGTGTCCGTCTCAAGCTTCCACAAATCAGTTTTAAACAATCATGCTAAAATTGTCTTCAAAAAACAATCATAATACTAAAATTAATTCTTTCGGAAGCAAGTAGAAGTTAGAACCAAACTAAATTAATATAAACCAAACCAAATTAAAACAAGAGGCACACAACAAGATTTTAAATTTAATTTTTTAATGTTTCTAAAATACAGTTCTATAAATTTTATAAATCGGAGATGTATAAAGAAAAGAAATAAAAACAGACAAGAATAAACCATAAAACAATAAAGATCAAATTTGGCATATTGGAATATTCGGAAATTGTAATTTCATTACCTGACATTATCTGAGAAACTTATCCAAACACTATCTGACATTCGGTGACTTTTTTTTAGAAACAGTGTCCAAAAACTCACAAATGGCATCACCGTCCGATTTAACCGGAGACAACATCGCCGGAATCTCGTTAAATCCTTCGGCGAGTAGCCGTGTAACTTCTGTATACAGCGAAGTCCAAGCGAGTCGTATCGACCACTCGCTCCCTCTTCCTTCCGTTCTTACAAGCCCCTTTAAGATCGTCGATGGTCCTCCGAGCTCCGCCGCCGGAAACTCAGGTTAATTCAATCTACTCTTACTAAACCGGATCCGTTAGAGTAAACCGGATTCTGTTTCTTCTGATTTTGATGATTGATCGGTTATGGTTTTCTTGATATTGTTGCTATAAACAGAGGAGATTGCGAAATTATTCCCAAATCTATTTGGACAACCATCGGCTTTATTGGTTTCAGACCAATCTAATAATGCAATTCCATCGGACCAAAAGCTTAGGATTGGTGTTGTGTTGTCTGGTGGTCAAGCACCTGGAGGACACAATGTTATTTGTGGAATTTTTGGTTAGACCATGTTCTTTATTGTTTCTTTTAATTTTCAGGATTTATAATTAAAAAAAATATATTGAATTGAGATTTTGTTGTTGTTGGTTCGATAGATTACTTGCAGGAACATGCGAAAGGAAGTAGTCTGTTTGGTTTTCGTGGTGGACCAGCTGGAATCATGAAGGGCAAATATGTTGAGCTTACTTCTGATTTTGTGTATCCTTATAGAAACCAGGTATGATCTAAATGTGCATTTGTTATATAGAAAATGGAGAAGAAAACGATTCGGTTTGCGTTTGGTTTATTCGGATATGGAGGAAAAAGAACCAAATTGGTTTATTCTCTTTTTGGTTTTGGTCCGGTTCGGATTAATTACAACTCTCTATTAATTTAAGCATCAGAGGTTTAGTGAAAGAATGGTTTATTTGGAGTAATTAAATTGATCAAGAAGAGTTGAAACTCGAAGCTCTCTGCATTAAAAGGTTGACTTTTGTGTTTTTTATTCTTAATCATTTCTGAAGTGCCTTTTTTTGCAGGGTGGATTTGATATGATATGCAGTGGAAGAGACAAGATTGAAACTCCAGAGCAGGTAAAAATGTTGTTTACTCTTCTCCTTGAAGCTTCTCAAGATTTACAATGTTTGTGGACTTAGTTACCATCAGTTTGGTACACTTTGCAGTTTCAACAAGCTGAAGAGACTGTAACAAAGATGGACTTAGATGGTCTTGTGGTTATTGGTGGAGATGACTCCAATACCAATGCTTGTCTCCTCGCTGAAAACTTCAGGTATTGTTTTCGAAAAGTGGCCATTAGATTAAGTGACCTTTTCTCACTAGTTGATTGATTTTCAGAGGCAAGAACATGAAAACTCAAGTTATTGGGTGTCCCAAGACAATCGATGGCGATTTGAAGAGCAAAGAAGTCCCTACAAGTTTCGGGTTTGATACTGCTTGCAAGGTACGTAAGCTCAAAACAGAGACCGTAAAAACTTTGCTCTGTTATGATTTTTTTTTTTTTTTTTTTTTGTGTGATTATTTTCATGCAGATATACTCAGAAATGATTGGAAATGTTATGATCGATGCACGTTCCACGGGAAAATACTATCACTGTATGGTTTTTTCTTATTTTTCTCTTAGCAAAACGAATTAATCTCGTTACAAATTATGGTTTCATTCCATCTGTTACATTATCTCTATAGTCGTACGACTTATGGGACGTGCTGCTTCACACATTACACTTGAATGCGCTTTGCAAACCCATCCGAACATTACCATTATCGGAGAAGAGGTTTCAGAGAAGAAGCTAACGTTGAAAAACGTTACGGATTACATTGTTGATGTGATTTGTAAACGCTCTGAAAACGGTTATAACTATGGTGTCGTTCTTGTCCCTGAAGGTCTAATTGATTTTATCCCTGAGGTAATGATTTAATCTCATATTATCTAATATAATATAATGATCATTTTGTGTTCTTCAACTTCCTTTATGTGTTGCGTTTACAGGTGCAAGAGCTTATTTCAGAACTGAACGAAATCTTGGCGCAAGGAAACGTCGATGAAGAAGGAAAATGGAAGAAGAATCTTAAAGAGGAGACTCTAAAGCTTTTTGAGTTTCTTCCACTAACAATTCAGGAACAACTCATGCTTGAGAGAGACCCACATGGAAATGTCCAGGTCTGTTTCTTGAAACCATAAACTGATTCAGTCCGGTTAAGAAAATCAGACTCAAAACCGGTTTATCTTGCATCTGCATAATTGATCAGGTGGCTAAAATAGAGACAGAGAAAATGCTGATTCAAATGGTTGAAACCGAGCTAGATAAAAAGAAGGAGGAGGGTACATACAAACGCGAGTTCATGGGGCAATCACACTTCTTTGGGTGATTAATAAGTCTAAAACATATAAATACATATATTAACTACTAATTAGCCTTAACATATGTTGTTCTGATGATGTATTTAAGGTATGAAGGAAGATGTGGACTGCCTACGAATTTCGATGCAACTTACTGTTACGCATTGGGTTACTGTGCTGGATCACTCCTCCAGAGCGGGAAGACCGGACTAATCTCATCGGTTCAAAACTTTTTTTTTCGTTTCTTGAATATATCACAAACTGTTTCTTTATTTCAAGATTAATTTATATTTGTCATTTGTGATTTTTTGCAGGTTGGGAATTTGGCTGCTCCGGTTGAGAAATGGACCGTTGGTGGTACACCGCTTACTTCATTAATGGATGTTGAGAGAAGACATGGTAATATAAACTTTGATACATTTGTGAAATCTTTGATAAGAAATTTATGTTTTTGTTCCAACGTTAACTTTTTTTTTAATGTTGTAGGTAAATTCAAGCCAGTTATCAAGAAAGCTATGGTTGAGCTTGAAGGTAAAGTCTTAGCTCAAAAAACTATTTATTATTCTCTTTCTCATGGAGTCTGATCAATTTCAGGAGCACCGTTTAAGAAATTTGCGTCGCAGCGGGAAGAATGGGCGTTGAAGAATCGATACATTAGTCCTGGTTTGTTCACATACACATGCGTCTGCATAAAGTAGTAACTGGTTTCACTCTTTTTAGGGTTTTCTTGTTAAATCTCGTCATGCTTGTTCTCTTGTTGTTATTAGGTCCGATTCAGTTTAAGGGACCGGGATCTGATGCGATAAATCACACCTTACTGCTCGAGCTTGGGGCTCAAGCCTAAAGAGATTTTGTACTGTCTCACTTACTATGTTGTTTGTTTGTCTTTGTAGTAAGAAAGTTACTGTGAGTTAAGTGAACCAACAGGCCAGTGATCATTGTTGTGGTGAAACTTGGGATACGTATATGATGACTCATGTCATGTTTACTAAATAAAGTTTTATTTTCTTTTACTTTTTTTTTTCCAATAAATTAGAGACACTTCACAATATACATATGTAGATGGCTGCCAACTACATAAAAACAAAATTAAATAATTAATTCAAGAGACAACAGAGTAAGGTCTGCCCATGATCGTCTTTACGACTTTACTTCTTTCAAAAGACAACGAGATCGAGAGGAGAAACTACGCATCTTAAACGTGCGATTAGGGGATATCGAGGATCGCCGTCGTTATCTTTTCCAGAAACTACGCATCTTCAAGCTGGTCGTGAGCTTCTTGAGATTGTTAACCGCAAAGAAGAAACCGGTCTACTGGTGATACCGGTTTTCTAGGGTTTGGATCCTTCTCATGTTCGGAAACAGAACAGCGATTTCGGATTATCATTCTTCCAACTGGTACGGTCTTTTGCAATATTGTTGTTTCTTGCTTGTGGATTAATTATTTTTTGTTGCTATTATTAGGGATAATGGATCGAAAATTACATAATTTAGAAACACAGGCTATTTGGTTAAACTGAATTTAACTCCATCAAAGGGTTTCGAGGACTTTGTTGGCATCAAAGATCTCAAAGTGCCGCACTAGTTGGTGTTTGTTCTCATTTGTAAGCATTTATCCTATTATATCTTGAGTCAATACGGTAAATTTTTTTCTGTTTATCCTCCCATATAGAACTCTCCAGCTGACCATTCACAATATCTGTTTCTATATCATAACTATTACTACCACTTGATAGATCATAAAGGCATACCCATAATCTTAAGATCCGTTCTAGGTCAAAATTATATTTCATGAGAGATACTCCATCTAGGCTTTTTCAGAACAACGATAGATAGATGGCATATGTGATCTGGTTTTAAAAATTATTGGACAACTCACCCGTATGGGTTGCGAATACGCAATACAAAAACCCTCAAAATCCTCAAAATCTACAATTCATACTTACTCCTCCTCAATCAATCTGGTTGCCATGTGTGGGAGACGAATCTGATCAAAACATACATGACCACCAGATTGATGGGAGAGAAATATGTAGAATTATATATTTTGGAGATTTCTGTTGTCCTATTGGCAATCTTTTCAAAATCTCATATGTACCTATATATATTGTTGCTCTGAAAAGTTATGCCTCTAATATCGCCCCCTGACATATAATTTGGCTTGGGGTTTCATAAAACCCAAAACAAATCTTAAAATCATGGACTTACTTTTATGATCTATCAAGTGGTCGTTATAGACTTATAGTTATGATATATGATATAGAAACATAAACTGTGAATGGTCATATTTGAGAGGGTAAACGAAAAAAAATTACCGTATCGACCCAAGCTATATAGTAGGATATGCAGAATAACATACAACATTGAACAAGTATGGTAGAGCTTGCAAATGAGAACACCACTAGCTACTACGCCACTTTGGCATCAGATGAGTTCATTGTTGCCTTTGGAATCTGAGGGCTCCTTGGGAATCGGCAAGACTACCATTGCAAAAGCTCTCTTTCGTCATTTCCAAGGTAGTGTCTTCATAGACAGTGCATTCATTTTGGGACAGTCAATGATTCCAGACACGTAAAATCTTTTTCAAATGATATCTTTTGAAGTTATTATTTGATTATACAACACTCTTGAAAAAGGCGAATCTGAATTTCATATCGTGATTGATTTGCTTCAGCTACGGAATGGTCAAAAGCCGAATATCTTTAGCAATTAAAAAAAAAAGATATTCACAATACTATTGTTTTAAATCGTGTAATGTAAGTTCCAGGTCAAGAGATGCCATTAGCAATTTAATCGTCTAGAGAAAACCCTAGAATTTCACAAGAAGGTCGAAACAATGATGTTAAGGCAAACTGCAAAAAGGCTCTTCTAGGGTTAATACCTTTTGGAAAAGATCTTTGGTCGTGATGCTTGATTCAAGACCTTTGGTCGTGGCTCCGCCATTGCCGCTTCCTCCGTTGGTATAACGTATCTTTGCTCTTTATGAGAATCGATTTGTCTCTTTTAATTGCGATTTTAATACTTAACGACTTATCGTAATTGATAGATTTGTTAAGCTGTGCATCTGTTCAATTTTTGTTTGTTAAATAGATATTTGATGTGTTAAACATACATGGTCTTTTTCTTTTACCTTGACATACTAAAACATGGTAAAAAATGATCTTTCGTCAAATGTTTGTTCCGTTTCCTATGAAACATCCTGTGATAATTAGTATATTCAGTTTTTTAATTATCATATTCTGTAGTGTGATGAAACAAATTTGATCTCTCCTACCAAATTTAAATTCTGTTACTTGGTGTAGATTTGCATTGCAAGGGATTATTGTTTCAAGTGGAATTTAGTAGCCTAAAGATAATGTTATATATCCGCCCATTTTCTTATCTGCTACACTTTTCGTGTTGTCTTGTTCAACGTTTTGGTCTTTCGTAAGCATATATTAAAACGATGAAAGACATAAATTAAATTAAATATGGTTTGTTTAATCATCTCCTTTCTCTCCTTCTTGCCTCGACCAGCTGCTGCAAGTGCGGCCAAGCTCAACATCTTCTCTTCTGTGTACTTCCACGCGTTTCTAATATGCTTTGCTGTTTTCTTTTACCTCTTTATGGTTGCTTGATATATTTGCACTAAACTTGGAACATAAGGAACCACATGACAAGGCATGCGGGTGTCACATTTTTGGAGAGGCAATTTCTTAAAGTAACCAGCCTCTCCAAAAATGTGAATTGTGTAGCGGTGATGGTAATAGTGTCGATAAAAAACAACGGCGAGTTTCTTCTCCTCGTCAATGAAAAAACTCCCAGATCTAAATGAAGTTGGTATCATGCATGTCACGAACTTGATCCACGACACCTGTTTGGTGTTAATCCTATCTGTAATCCAAACCTCGGTCTTGGTCTCGGTCACATTGGGCTGAAATAAAACCGCAAGCTTCTCTTGTCTAACACAAGATAGAGTCACAACCTCATCATCCAAGGCCCTGAACGGCAGAGGCAGAAGCGGCCCAAATCTCTCCCTTGTAAAATCAAAACCGATTATGCAGTTGGCTAAAAGTTCATCGTCGCGTGAGTTCCTAGGTCTAGCACGCCAGTAAGTGTTTCCCTTGAGAGAAACGCCATGGGAATCACAACATATATCCCATTTTGGAATGACATCAATAGTCTTCCATACACCAGATTCCAAGTTGTAGATTTCATACCCTTTAAAGACCCTTACCGTGAGTTTTCGTGGAAAAGTTAGATAAGCCATAAACCTCAAGATTTTGTGGCTGCGACAAGACGTCTTCTTCTTACTCTGGTATCCCAGAGCGTACATGTACCTCCTCTCTTCGAAGACTGGGCAGCGGAAAGTAATCCTGCAGGCTTCGACCCACCTTGTTTGACCCAAATACGGATTCCAAACCACAACCCTAGTGGTGTCGTTTTTCAAGATGCATAACAACAAACCCTCGCATTCAAAGACCCTATGTATCTTGACTTGATCCGAATCCTTGAGGCAACTAATATGTTTACCTTTAGGCTCTGTAGATGGATCATCAACGTTCAACGCGAGGCTATTTAGATAAAGATTGTGATCCATCAACAAGATCATCCAAGACTTGCCTTCCCTTGCTTCTGTTGCTTTACCAATGTGCATCTTGGTAAAGATCCCACCATTGGACAAAGTGTCCCACTCTCTGCAAGTTGATCGAACCGCTCTCATCGATTCCAACGGAACCCTAGAGATTATCTCCTCTAACAAATCCCTTGAAAGATTGGAGATCGTCGTCGTCGTAGTCGTCGTCATTGTTTTCTTCAACAAGGGTTTTCCTGTGAGAGACGGTTTGAAGGAAAGAAACCCTCAACATAAGTGAAAGTGCAAAGCACAACCAAAACCATATTCCTTGTTCGAAAAGGAAACATCCAAGTATCTTTAGACTTTAGGAATTATCAATTCCAAAAGAAACAAAAAGAGGAAAAATTACATTAGCGATCAGATTTACAAATAAGTGATAAATGTACAAAAGAGTTAAATCAAAAAGGAAAAGCTGTGTTGTCACTCCAAAAACTGATAAATGTCCTCTGAAGACAAGACATTTAGCTTGTGGAGACAAGACATTTATAAAAAAAAAAATTGAGTTTGACAATAGCTTTTGATAGCATATAGTTTTGATCTGTGTAACCATAATTAATAAGAAAACCCTCTACACTCACACACCATATTCAAATTTGCTAAGATCGGATCTTTCTCTGCCATTCATGAGTTCTGGCGACTAGACAGTTCCGCCAAAAACTACAGGCGCAAAACTTTGGCAAGTACATAACAAGTTTTTCATGGTGGTTATCAATGAAGGACACACAGCAATAAGATGACACGAAGAATTCTTCAGACCCATTTCTTTTATATGACAAAAGATGTCAAGCACAATACAAATAGAAAAGCTTATAACTTCTTTCCACAAAAAAAAACAAATCTCATTTACAACATTCTTCTTATGTACTTTACAATCTCTCTCTCTCATCAACATAAAAGAACATTCCTCTTTTGATTGTAAAACAGCCCATATGAGATCTGATCATAAAGCAAGATTTGAGAAAAGGAGTCCCATGTTAATATAAAAACCATGATCATATATATGAATAAAGGGTCAGAAAGACCATCAAAGACCCTGCACAAGACTGAATGTTGAAATCCTTGAAGGTTCTCATAATATCATAGAGAAGGCCTTTGTGATCTTGACAAAAAAAACACAGCTACCATGCAATTCAGAGAATCAAGTACCATAAAAACTAACCATATAAAAGCCCTGTGCGGTCGGAACAAGCTTCAATAGGAAAAGATCAGAGTCAGAAAGGTAACATCGAGAAATACCAAAGGCCCAAGAAAAGCCTCCCGTGGAATGTTCTGCTCACATTTATGGGAAATTGTGATTATCCTAATTGCGGATCCGAATTTATGGGTTGATGAGATTCTACTTTAGAACTACTTGAATATGATATTCAAAATATTTTGGTTAATTATACATGTATACTTATGTCTCCATCGTCTCTGCTCTTTCTGTATATAACCAAGAATCGTTTACCAGTTAAAATCCAGGTTCTAAGCTTTAGCATATATATGTGATTATGTGAAATATTCCTATTACGGCTAAAGGCACGTGACGGTGATAAGGAGGAGGCAGCTATCTCTGCCCATAAACTCATTTTTGGTTGTGACTTTTTCTTCTTCCTCTTCTTATTCTCCTTTTGATTTATATCATTATCTGACTCAGTAAAAAAGTTCCTATAAATGATTTCATTGTTGATGTTCTTTACTTTACATGTATACTATGTGATTATGTGGAAAATTCTTTTCATAGTCTGCAAGATCAGAGGTATTTAAGAAGATGTTTGAATCAGACAAATGCAAGGCTTCGTCCGTGTTGGAGACAATCACTCTCTCGGATCTGAAACCAGAAGAGTTAGAAGCTTTCGTTGAGTTCATCTATACCGACGGCTCTATGCTTTCACAAAAAGCGAAGCAACATGTTACGTCACTCTATCGTGCGGCCGACAAATATGAGATTCCGCATCTGCGTGACCTATGCAGAGATGAGCTTATAGCAACTCTTAACCCTTCAAATGCTCTTAGAGTTCTTGCGCTTGCCGAAATCCTTGATGATTTAGATGATCAAATGGTTCTCGATGCCTTGGCTGGTCGAACTCAATGGTTTGGACATGGGAGCAGAACCATTGTGATAACAAAAGATAGGCATCTTTTGAGAGCACATGGGATTGATTGTATCTACGAGGTTGATCTCCCATCTGAAAAGCAAGCTCTTCAGATGCAAGATTCTCCACTTGATGGTTTCTTGGGACTCGCTTCTGAAGTAGTAAATCGTGCGGGTAGTCTTCCTCTGGGTCTTAACGTCTTGGGTTCGTATTTGCGAGGGAGGAACAAAGAAGATTGGATAGAAATGCTGCCTAGCCTTCGTAGTAGGCTTAATGGGAACATTGAGAGGAGTTTGAGACTCAGTAGCAAAGAAGACAAAGCCATATTCCGTCACCTCGCTTGTCTCTTCAAGGTGCGGAGATCGATTACATCAAACATGTCCTCGCGGATAGTGATTTGGATGTTAATGTAGGGCTTAAAAACCTAGTTGATAGGTCCCTCATACAAGTAAGATGGGATACTGTGAGGATGCACTGTTTAGTACAAGAAATGGGTAAAGAAATCGTTTCTTAACAGTCTGATAACCAATGATTCCAGACACGTAAAGTCTAATTCAAATAATATTTTTTGAAGTTTTTATTTGATTAAAAAATCAACAATACTACATAACCCAAACTTTAAATAGGATTTGTAAATCTTTGTTTACTCATCTCCTTTCTCTCCTTCTTGCCTCGGCCGGCTAATTGATTGGCTTAGCAAGTGCGGTCAAGCCCAACATCTTCTGTGTACTTCGACGTGTTTCTAATATACTTTGCTGTTTCCTTTTACCACCTCGTGGTTGCTTGATTTGCACTAAACTTGGAACATAAGGAATCACATGACGACAAGACATGTAGGTTTCATGTTTTTGGAGAGGCTATTTTTTATGGTAACCAGCTTCTCCAAATATGTGAATTGTGTAGCGGTGATGATGTAAGCATCAAACCCTACACAACTGAACCAGTTAAGGAGCAAGGATTCAGGAAACATGAAGTGGAGAACATGAAGCTTATGAAGTCCAAGGAGATATACGAGCTTTGTCTTAGCACAAATGGAGGCCAATAACAAATATTCAAACTCAGCAGACCACGGGATAGTATACCCAACTCATTTAGAGTTCACCACAAAGAAGAATCAGCTAAAAAGGAATTCTTATGAAGAAGATATTGAAGATACAAATTGGAAGATTTTCAATGGACCCGATGGAGACATACGACTACTAGTTAAATCATTCCAGCCAAACCAAGATGAACCAAACAACAAAACCGGATTTTTCAGATTCTCAACTCATCAGAGGAATGCCACGAATTGGATTCATATCAAAATTCATCATGGTTTAAAAGTTATTCAACTTCTAAACCGGAGGTTGTTCCACTTGCCTTATATGGGAGCTGACGAGTTTAATCACTTGCAAACCAAACTTTGGCGACTAGGAGAGACATTTTATTCGCCCTACCTGACATCCAATGAAGATAACAGAAGTCCTAGACCAGGAAACCAAAGCAATAGCCGAGCTAAACCACTTCAAAACCAAGGAGAATCAACCAAAGAAGAAGTTTCCTTTTATAAGTTCATTACCTTTACCTCCAAAGGAAACTATGACCAAATGCCACTTTCATCAACTCATATCGACCCTCCATCCTCTCAAGATGATCCTGAAAGTCCCTACAAGATAGAAGAGTCAAATATTAACTCCATTTCGTCACCACCAATCAAGCCACCTCTTTTTCCCAATTATGATAATGGCTAGAAGATCAAATTAAGCCAAGACTAAAATCTCAAACTCTTTGCTTTGTTTTAATGTCTTATGACCGTTTTATTCATGATATTCTGAGCATTATATAAGCTCAAACATATGTGTTTTCATAGCAACGAAATTATCAATCAAAGAAAGTTATTTTTGTTTCAAAGAAAAGTACCTCTTTGCATACAAATTGTTCCTGCTTTTTATTAAGTTTTTCTGAGTGATTCAAAGAACTTGTGAGAAGTGTAGAATCTCCTAAGCTCTTGTGAGGATTAGCCCTTGAGCTGAGAAGAATCTAATCCTTGGTGTTTGAGGTCATCAAGCATCAACAAAGCTACAAAACCATCAGTCTTTTCTTCCATTCTATCCAGCTTCTAAGCATTTGATTTCAAAGGGACATTCCTTGAAGCAATTTGAGGCTTGTATCATTGGTATCAGAGCTAAAAGCTCCTATCCCAGGTGTTTCCAATACCTATCTTAAGTTTTTGCAATTTGATTCATTCAGTTTTTTTTTTTTGAAATTTGTTTCTTATAAAAAAAATCATAAAAAGTTGTTTAATTGTTCATCTGTCTTCTGCGAATTTTATAAAATCCAAAAATACATAACAATTGTTTTTTCTTTTTGTTTCGGTTTATTTAATCTCTTAAAAACACAAAACAATTATTTCCCTAAATTATTCGGATCTTTTGATAATTTGTTTTGATTTTTCAATTCAATTGGTCAAAACCGCTTAATTCTGTGTTCTTCATTTTGTTCGATTTTTATAAAATCCAGAAAAACTCAAAAAATATTTTGTTTCTTGTTTCTGTTAAATTAAACTCTTAAAAACCACAAAAAATATTAATTTTGAAATTTCGATCCATTTGATAATTTTTACAATCATTTTTCCTCAACTGGTCGAAATCTGTTTAATTGCTTGTTCTTGTACTTTGCTTTCATTTAAAACACATCCTGATTGTTTTGCTTTGATTTAAACATATCTTTGATTTGTTTTCTTCAATCTTTTGCAAGGTACAACAATGGAGAATGCACCAGCTGACCCTATTCAAGCAATACTGGCTGCCATTGCCAACTTAACTGAAACCTTCAATGCATTCAGGACTGAAAGCTATGGTCACCTTGAACGCCTTGAAAGGAGAAAAGCTGAAGCAACCAGCTTGTCAAACGAGTCATACCAACATTACAAGGCGCCAAAGCCACCTGATGTATCTCCACCTCCAGCAACAAACTCTATACATGTGGCCCAAGATTTTTTCAAAAGAAGTTTGCCACGAGAAGAGAAGACTACTGTCCCATTAATAGAAGGAGAAACTCAAATTGTGCAAGAGGAGAACATGAGCAACAATGGAGAAAACCTGATGTTTGTTAAGGAGAGACCAGCTGATCACGAGCTGACACCAACCCTAGAACTTGCTAAAGCCAAAGACATCCCATTCAATCAACTCTTGCAGCATTTACAGAACAATCACCAAGGTAAGTTTCTAAACTCTAATTTTCTTCCAGAAACTAACTTAGCCTTGTTTGATGCAGGTTCTAATGTTTTGAGGACAAACCCTCTTCAAGAGGGAGAGTATGATGTAAGCATCAAACCCTACACAACTGAACCAGTCAAGGAGCAAGGATTCAGGAAGCATGAAGTGGAGAACATGAAGCTTAGGAAGTCCAAGGAGACATACGAGCTTTGTCTAGCACAAATGGAGGCCAATAACAAATATTTAAACTCATCAGACCACGGGATAGTATACTCAACTCATTTAGAGTTCACCACGAAGAAGAATCAGCCAAAAAGGAGTTCTTATGAAGAAGATATTGAAGATACAAATTAGAAGATTTTCAATGGACCCGATGAAGACATACGACTACTAGTTAAATCACTCCGGACAAACCAAGATGAACCAAGCAACAAAACCGGATTTTTCAGATTCTCAACTCATCAGAGGAATGCCAAGAATTGGATTCATATCAAAATTCATCATGGTTTAAAAGTTATTCAACTTCTAAACCGGAGGTTGTTCCACTTGCCTTATATGGGAGCTGACGAGTTTAATCACTTGCAAACCAAATTTTGGCGACCAGGAGAGACATTTTATTCGCCCTAAATGACATCCAATGAAGATAACAGAAGTCCTAGACCAGGAAACCAAAGCAATAGCCGAGCTAAACCACTTCAAAACCAAGGAGAATCAACCAAAGAAGAAGTTTCCTTTTATAAGTTCATTAACTTTACCTCCAAAGGAAACTATGACCAAATGCCACTTTCATCAACTCATATCGACCCTCCATCCTCTCAAGATGATCCTGAACGTCCCTACAAGATAGAAGAGTCAAAGATTAACTCCATTTCATCACCACCAATCAAGCCACCCTTTTTTCCCCATTATGATAATGGCTAGAAGATCAAATTAAGCCAAGACTAAAATCCCAAACTCTTTGCTTTGTTTTAATGTCTTATGACCGTTTTATTCATGATATTCTGAGCATTATATAAGTTCAAACATATGTGTTTTCATAGCAACGAAATTATCAATCAAAGAAAGTTATTTTTGTTTCAAAGAAAAGTACCTCTTTGCATACAAATTGTTCCTGCTTTTTATTAAGTTCTTTTAAGGGATTCAAAGAACTTGTGAGAAGTGTAGAATCTCCTAAGCTCTTGTGAGGATTAGCCCTTGAGCTGAGAAGAATCTAATCCTTGGTGTTTGAGGTCATCAAGCATCAACAAGGCTACAAAACCATAAGTCTTTTCTTTCATTCTATCCAGCTTCTAAGCATTTGATTTCAAAGGGACATTCCTTGAAGCAATTTGAGGCTTGTATCAGGTGAGGGTAATAGTGTCGTGCACAAACAACGGCGAGTTTCTTCTCCTCGTCGATGAAGAAATCCTCCTCAGATATATATATAGATGGTATCACGTCCACCGTCAAGAACTTGATCCACGACACCTGTTTGGTGTTAATCCTATCTGTAATCCAAACCTCGGTCTTGGTCTCGGTCACATTGGGCTGAAATAAATCCGCAAGCTTCTCTTGTCTAACACAAGATAGAGTCACAATCTCATAATCCAAGGCCCTAAACGGCAGAGGCAGAAGCGGCCCAAATCTCTCTCTTGTGAAATCAAAACCGATTATGTAATTGGCGA